CCTGGAGGCTCTCATGGTGCCCACGAGCCAGGGCTTCACCGAGGTGCGCGACGTCTTCTTCAAGGAGGTCACGGACATGAACCTGAACGTCATCAATGAGGGTGGTATCGACAAACTGGGCGAGGTGAGGCTGGGCTGCCAACGCCCCCAGGCAGGTGGTCAGAGAGAGAATGGCTGCTGGGGGTTGGAGCATGAGGCGAAGGGACAGGGAGGGGATGGCTGCCACCTGCTCGTTTCCAAACCCGGAGGCTTGCTGGGATAGAAGAGGATTTGATAGACAGGTGGGGTGCAGAGGTAGACCCCCAGGCAGCCGGCTGCCCCAGGCGGGCACTACCAGGGCTCGGGCACCACGCATGCACTCCTCCCCACAGTACATGGAGAAGCTGTCGCAGCTGGCCTACCACCCCCTGAAAATGCACAGCTGCTATGAGAAGATGGAGCCGCTGCGGCTGGACGGGCTGCAGCAGCGCTTCGACGTGTCCAGCACGGCTGTGTTCAAGCAGCGAGCCCAGATCCACATGCGAGAGGTGAGCCCGGGTGCCACCCCACACCATGCTCACCTCGCCAGCCCCGGCTCAGCCCAGCCCTTCCTTCTCTACTGAGGACAACGGCACCTCTGCCCACCAGGCTGATTCAGGCTCATTTTGCAGGGTTTGGCTTGTCAGCCTTCTTCTAGGAGGGGGAGCTCTGCGCCCCCGCCTTAGCAAGCTTGGGGGTGGGCTGAGGGGTTGGGGTCCCTCCAGGGGCATCATGTGCCTCCCCACATTCTGTGCCCTGCAGCAAATGGACAATGCAGTGTACACCTTCGAGACCCTCCTGCACCAAGAGCTGGGCAAGGGGCCCACCAAGGAGGAGCTCTGCAAGGCCATCCAGCGCATCCTGGAGCGCGTGCTCAAGGTCAGACGCTGCCTCCCTCCGGTCCCTGCTCACTACCACCTGCGCCTGGGCATCCCCGTGTACGGCTAGGCTACCTGTTCCCCGGGCTGCTGGAGCCCGCTGAGCCCAGACCCCGCCCCGTGCCCTCTCCCCCTGCAGAAATACGACTATGACAGCAGCACGGTGCGCAAAAAGTTCTTCCGCGAGGCCCTGCTGCAGATTGCCATCCCCTTCCTGCTGAAGAAGCTGGCACCCACCTGCAAGTCGGTGAGCACTGTGGGGCGGGGCCGGGGAGGAGCCTGGAGCCCAGGGCGGGGCTGGGGAGGAGCCTGGCACCCCAGGGCGGGGCCGGGGGAGGAGCCTGGAGCCCAGGGCGGGGCCGGGGAGGAGCCTGGAGCCCCGGGGCGGGACCTGGGGAGGAGCCTGGAGCCCAAGGGCGGGACCTGGGGGGTTGCACAGACCCTCCCTCTATAACGTCAGGTTTCCGTGCCCTGACCTGCCGTCTCTCCACTCCCCATACCCTGACAGGAACTCCCACGGTTCCAGGAGCTGATCTTCGAGGACTTTGCCCGGTTCATCCTGGTGGAGAACACATATGAGGAGGTGGTGCTGCAGACGGTCTTGAAGGACATCCTGCAGGGTGAGCTCTGGTCCCGCCCCCGAGAGCGGCTGCTGCGGAGGGCACACAAGGGTCCACAGACCAGCCAGAGGTGGCATCAGCCCAGGGTCAGCTATTGTGGCCCCAGGAGGGTGGCACCCTGTGTCTAGTCCTCGACTCTGCAGGGTCGGCCATCACCACCTTAAAGTCACGGTGCTACATGCAGTGTGCAGGGGTGAGGCTTGGCCTGAGTCACCCCAATCCCAGATAACCCTTGGCGGGGTGGAGGGTTTGGGAGGGGCTACCAGAGCCCCCTGACCCCTGGCCTGTGACCCCACAGCCGTGAAGGAGGCCGCGGTGCAGAGGAAACACAACCTGTACCGGGACAGCATGGTCATGCACAACAGCGATCCCAACCTGCACCTGCTGGCTGAGGGTGCGCCCATCGACTGGGGTGAGGAGTACGGCGATGGCGGCGGCAGCCCCGGAGCCGATGGCATTCCAGATTCAGCCACGCTCTCGGAGAAGCGGCGGCGTGCCAAGCAGGTGGTCTCCGTGGTCCAAGATGAGGAGGCGGGGTTGCCCTTCGAGGCTGGCTCTGAGCCAGTGACCCCTGCGTCCCCGGACAGTGTCACTGAGCTCCGCGGCCTGTTGGCCCGAGATTTGCAGGCTGAGAGTCCCCCACCAGCCAGCCCCCTGCCCAACGGGGCCCCCGCTCAGGAGAGCCCTCAACCCACAGCGGCCCCCGAGGCCTCCTCCCCACCCCCTTCACCCCCTGACCATCTGCCAACTGGGAAGGCTGTGGACTCTGATCCCCCCAAGCCAAGCGACCGGGAGACGGGTGAGCAGGTGGCCAGTCCCGGCAGTCGTCCCCCTATCCACACCACCACGGAGGACAGTACCGTGGTGCAGACTGAGTTCTAAGTTGATGACCCCCTAACTTCTGTTGGACATAGCCTTGGGGCGGCATGGGGGCGCCCTCTGTGCGGCACTGGCAGCTCGGGGGAGGGGAGCCCCACTCTGTGCCTTGTGGGTGAGGCAGGGCGGGCACCCCCAGCCCCTCTCCAGGGTGCGGCGCCCCTTCTCTGCTCCTCTAGCGCTTTGGGATGATCTTGGATGCAGGGTCTGGGTTTTGGGTTTTCCTCCTTGCTCTGCGGCCGAGGACACCTCTTCCTACTCCACGGCTCCTCCCTCACGGGTCTCACCATCCTTCCTGGAGGAGGGAGACAGAAGCATCTGGAAGTCTGTGCAGTTGGCAGGCAGGAGAGGGCGGGCCATGGCACACCATCCCTCCCTCCCCTGCTGTCTCCACTGTCCCAGCTGGGCCAGGGTCAGATTCAAGGTTGAGGAGAGCTGGGCCAGGGCCTGGGTCCCTGGGTGCCTCACAGAGGGAGTGCAGCAGTGGGGTGGGGGGAGGGCTGAGCTGAGCTGAGGCAGGCCGGGCAGTGCTGTCTGTGGCAGGAAGTGTCCTGATGGCCTCTGGGTGGCTGTCGGAGGGTGAGTGAGCCTGAGGGGGATCTAGAGCAGCAGCCTCGCACATGCCCCTCCCCCTCTCCCTGCCCAGCCTGGCCCCTCCCCACTCTGTTCCTATCTCTTTTGCACCTGTGGCAGACCACACGACTTGGGGGTGTAGGGGTGACTTCTGTCCACCTCTGAGGGACTCTGCCTGCTTGAGGGAGTTGCCCATAGCACTCTAAGATGCCCCTGAGGACTGGGGGTCATAAGCCATGCCAGGCCTCTGACTCGCCGGAAGGTGCCAGACCCCTCCGCAAATGTCCTGGGGTCAAAGGAGGCTTGGCCTACTGTGCCTTCCTCAGCTTCTTTTCCTGAGTGTGAAGGTCAAGTCCACTTGAGTTTGACACCTGCTTGGGGAGCCCTTCTTCAAGCCCCAGGGGGTCCCTGCCCTAGCCCTGCCCCCTGTAACTCCTAGCCCTGCCCCCAGGCTGGGGCTCTAGACCCACAGGAATGGCTGGTGCCTGGAGGACATTGTCCCACGATGCCCCCACCTCCTGTGCCTTGGGGTCTTTAGTCCTCCCTGTATCTTACTGGGAATACTACGCAAACTGTTGTAGCTTCTACTAATCAATAAATGCTTTATTTAAAGCCGGTGGCCTGCTCTAGTGTTGGAAGGGCGTGGGCAGCAGGGCCTCCGGACTCATCCTTGACTCAGTCCCTCCAGGTCCACCAGCCAACGCCTTAAATGGTCCCATTTTCTGGGGTTCCCAGAAGACCCACGTCTGAAGTCCTGGAGTTTGTGGGTGACCAGGCTCCTACTGCAGCCCCTGGCCTCTCAGCCAGACCCCCAAGTGCTGCGCTACACATGAACATGGCTGCAGGGTTGCCCTGGGACCCCTGCCACTCACAGCCAGCCCAGTGCACTCTTTCTTAAAGGCTTTATTCATTTAGAAAGCCAGAGTTGGGGTCGGGGGTTGGGGATCTTCTGTCTGTTAGTTCACTGGGCCAGGCTGAAATCATGGATGCGGGGGACCAAACACTTAGGCCCTCTTTCCTGCCCTTCCCAGGCAAGGAGCTGGAGCGGAAGTGGCGCGGCCAGCCAGGGTGTTGTCCCCAGCTGCGCATGCTGTTTTGTAGCTCCTGCTTGTGTGCGGACGCCCATGGAGCCCTTGCTTCGGGCTGTGGGCTGGCACCTCCTGGTACTGCCCTCAGCATTTCAGCAGGTGTGAACTGAGGCCCAGGAAGGGGGTTCTTGGACACAGGGAAGTCCCCTTGTCCTTGGGGCTGCCCCACCTGCAGGCTGGAACATGTCCTTGTGAGGCAGGTGGCAGCCAGGCACTCCCCTGGTGCAGCCTGGCCACTGTGGCCAGGGCAGTGGGCCTCTCAGTCTCACAGCTGTGGAGTCAGAGACCGGGGCCTTGAACTTCACGTCTGCAGCTGGAATAGCAGGCAGTGATGGTTGCGCCCCGGGAGGACCTAGAAATTGTCAAGAGCCCACAGAGGAGGAGGGGGGGACCAGAGCGTGCTGGGCATGTCTGCCCTGCCTGGGGTGGCACCATGGGCTCAGCCTCTCCTGCTCTTCTTTGGGAATGCTGCACGGGGGTGATCCCCCAGCTCCCCCTGGTGGTCATCAAGGTAAGTTAGGGCCCTATTATGAGGGGAGTGGATAGAGGATACCCCAGCCCAGGCCGGCCCAGGGTTGCTGTGTGAGCCAGGGGCAGAGCTGGGTGCCCCGAGCAAGCCTGCCACCTGCCAGAGAAGGTGTCCATCCGGTGCTGTGTGTACTGACCCTGAAATTGTGCAGTGCACCACCTGCACAGCTAAGTGACCATAGGGACAGGCGGTGCCTGGGCTCCAGGTCCAGCCCTTCCCTGCCCCTGCTGCAGAGGTCCCAGTCTCCTTGTCTGCCCGCACCGGGCCCTGGGCTCAGCGTGGTGGAGGAGGCAGGTGCGGGCACCCTCATGTTTGGCCTGCAGTTTGGTTCAGGGTGTTCCCGGCCCCTCCCCTGGAAGAACCTCTCCCAGCTCCTAGGCCCAGGGCCCTGCCCTTCCCTGCCAGATTCCCAGGCGGCCCCAGGGCTGAGGTTGAGTTTATTGACATTCCTGCTGGGGTGAGGCGGTACAGGGGTGGATGGATGGGATGACCTGAGGGCTGAAAAGCAGCTGAGGGGAAGCCTGGGGGGACACCAACCTGCCCTGTACCCTTTCTCAGGCTGGTCTGGCCCCCCTGCACATGGTCACCTGCCCACAGCTGGGCAGCGGCACAGCCAGTCCCTGCCCAAGCCCCCATGGGGGTGGCCTTCACACTCCAGGCCCGTCTTGCACCAGCACAGCCAGGCGTCCCCCTGGTCCTGCGGCTATGGAGCGGCCCTGGCCCGGCCTCGGTGTGCCAGGCAGTGGAGGCAGGGGTGGCGGGGGTGCGGGCACTCAGCTGCTGTGGTAGATGCGGAGGCGCTGGGTGATCTCCTGGCGGCACAGTGGGCAGGTGCGCAGCGGCTGGCAGCACGGCTGGCAGCAGCAGACATGGCCACAATTCAGGAAGATCATCTGAGCCTGAGGGGAGAGCGTGGGCAGAAGGGGGTCGTCAGGGCAAGATCCCACCCTCTAGGATGAGAAAAACCCCAGACCTGCTCCCAGGCTGGGGGCTGTCACTCCTTGTTTTATAAAAACAAAACAACCCCCTCCCGTCAGCCTGAGGCCTGCTTACCAAAGTGGAGCCCGCATATCTGCGCATGCCCTGGCTTTAAGGTCCTGGTCCCCCTCCCCTACCCATCCCAGACTCGCACCCCATCCTCTGTTGTCCCCACGGGTAGGAACGGGGCTGTGCCCAGTTTTCCTCAGGAAGCCATTGAGGACATACTCCAGAGTGTCAGCCTGCTTGTGACATTGGGCCAGCCGGAGCTCCCGGCAGGGCCGAGGGTTGGGCCTGGCTAAGGCGGTGTGTCCTTCCACCCCACCGGCCCACGGGGCCACTCGTGCCATCTTCCACAGGGGGTTGCTTGGGCAGGCAAGGGCAGGGGCCTCTGTTGCATGCCCAGGTATTGATTCTGCTGCAATTTTGAAAAGATGACTTTTGGGGGAAAATCATGTGACCGAGATTTGAGGCCTTGCAGTGTTTCACCTGCACGGGGAGATGAACAGCCCTTTTCTGGAAACGAGGAAAAAGCTTCAGAAAGTGACATCAGCACCGCTCACACTCGGGTCATGGGATCATGGCTCATCTCTGTTTCCTGGATTTTTCTTTTTCCAAAAGTTGCCATGAATATAGTAGACTTGTGCAACAGAAGAAAACAGTGCAGAAATTCCCCCACAGGCCTAGAGAGGCCGGCCGGCCGCTGGCCAGGCCAGGCAGCTGTGGGCGGGCTGGGGACAGACTCACCTCCCGTTCCAGGCACACGACACACTCCGAGGCCGGTGCCTCCAGCTCTGCTGGGGGAGCCGACGGCCTCACCAACTCGGGGGGCTCTTGGGGAGCCATGGGTGATTCCAGGGCCTCGTCCTTGGCTGGTTTCAGCTCTGTGGGGACCAGAGAGACAGGCTGAGCCAGGGTCATCTCTTGCTGACCCCACCCCTTGGGGTCTCCCCCAGCCCCACCTGCAGGCAAGTGAGCTGGGGCGGGGGGCGGGCAGTGAGGGAAGGGCCTTCTTTCCCTCGAGCTCTCTCTCTTCTCCAAGCCTCACTCTCCCACCTGTACAATGCCTTCTGCACACCCTGCCTCCTGCCAAGGCTGGGAGGAGGGTAGCAGCACATTCTAATTAGGGCCTCTTAAAAACCAGCATTTACTTGTTTATTTGCCCTTTTGTTCAAAGGGCAGAGAGAAAACTTCCATCCTCTGCTTTGCTCCTCAAACATCTGTGACAGCTGGGTCTGGGGCGGAGGGAGCCCAGAACAAACCGAGGGCCCCAGCAGGAGGGGAGGAGCCCAGGGACTTGAGTTGCACCTGCTGCTCCGGATGTGTGTGTGAGCCACACCCTCTTTCTCTCTCTGATGCTGTCTTCAAACAAACAAGTTAATTTAAAAGAAAAAAAAAAAAGAAAGCAGCTGGATAACAGACATGTCAGGCTTTGTGAGGCCTTGGGCAGGGAGTTTCAGGACTGGCCATGGATGGTGTCACCCAGGCCCCAGCCTGCAATGTTGGCAAGGGACCCCCACCCATGGCCATCACAGCTATGGTCCCTACTGGAGATGCCCGGGGGCAGTACCTGGCTGGGTGCTGGCCATGGCCAGCAGCTCCTGGACTCTGCGGAGAATCTCCTGCTGCAGGCCAGCTTCTGAGACGCCCACCTGCGGCAGAACAAGGCTGAGCAGGCTGTGGCCTGGCAGGGCTGGAGGAGGGGCTGGGAGCTGGGGAGCCATACATGACGGGTGGCCCCTCGCTGCCGGGACCTGGGGTCAGCCTGAGGGGGCCAGCAGTAGAGCTGGGAGGGTGATTGCTTGGGCCCGGGCTCCGACAAGCAGTCTGGCAGGGGGAGAAGCTGAGGCCCAAAAGAAAATGCTAGAAACAGCTGTGGTTCAGCAGGTGTCTCCCAGGGCGGGACCTCCTGTTGGTCACATCGGGAGGGCTCCCAGAGGATAAGGCCGGCAGGGGGTGGGGAAGGAGAGAAGAACTGAGTCACATGGTCCCTCGGTCACCAGAGCCCATGGGGGACCAGCCCACAGAACAGCAGAGTGGCAGAGTAGAGACCCTGGAGCCAGCCCACCCTGGGTGGCCTCGGCAAGTTCCTGCCAGGTGGGGACGTTTGCTCATCTAGAGAGGCTGCCCGTGTCTCCTGCCTGGCACAGCCACGCTCTGCAGCACAGGCCTAGCAGGGGCTACCAACTCTGTCCTGAGAGGTAACTGCAAGGCTTACATGTGCGGGGTTCAGGCAGAGCTGCGGTTGCCGGGAAGCCATGGGTGGGGGTGGGCTGGACCAGACCCTCCCAGGGACACCCTGAGGATCAGTCTTGGTTGGCAGGGCTGGCGGTCAGCAGGACTGGCTGGCCAGATGGACACAGGCTACCCACAGGTGGCTGGGGGCAAGTGTCCCGCTTCAAAGGCAAGGTGCCCTGGCTCAGTTAACCACGATAGTCCTTATAGCAAACTACACAAACAGCAAGTTGGACGGGTGGACCTTTGGATCGGCCTGCCTCCCTGCTCCCTCCGCTTCCCCCAGGTGCTGCAGCTCCCCACCTTGGCCAGGTCCCCGGGGCTCATCCTGCTCAGCGCGTCCAGTGACAGGCGATGGTACGCGAAGAGGGGCAGGTAGTGCTCGGCCGACAGCTCCACCAGGATGGCCACCAGAGGGCGCTCCATGCCTTCCTCCTGCAGAGGCAATGGCAGAAGGCCTTCCAGAGATTCTCCCCACAGACACACAGGTGGACGTGTCCAGAGGTGCGTGGGGCACAGGCCTGCAGACCTGCCAACAGGAAGTGGCTCAACATCTGTTCAGAAGGGCCTGCCTCGATAACCCAGGAGCACCCACATTTAGTACCAAGAAGTGACCCGGACCCAAGATGGTGATACAGGTGTACATCTGGGCATAGCGTGTCACCACTGCCGCCAGAACAGTAGCATGCCACACAGCACACATGCAGCAGCTCAGATGTCGTGAAAATGGAAGGCTTGAGCGAGCATGCGCCTGTGTGTGTGTGTGTGTGCATGCGCCTGTGTGTGAGAATGACATCTGTGTGTATATGTGTGTGAGAGAGACAGTCAGAGTCACATCTTTCCCATTCCCCAAGCCCTTCAAGGACAGCAGCTCCCATCCTCCCACGTGGTCTGACTCCTGCCCCACACATCAGTGCCCAGGGCAGAGCAGCAGCAGGGCACCTCCGTGAGGCGCCCTCATGGCTCCCCAGACCGGCGGGCACCACTGGCCTCACCTGCAGCTTCAAGGACAAAGGCTTCTGGTGCAGCAGGCGCTGGTACTGAATGAGCCAGTAATTCTCCTGCTTGGTCTCGCTTTTGGCTTCTAACTCCGTCTGCCAAGAACGAAGCAGCCACTGTTAGTCACGGATCACTTCCTACAAACTGTGGTGACGACCATAAAGACAAGGATGATGACCACCACGGCCCTGAGCGTGGCTCCTCTGAACAACTGGATGTGCTTGGGATTTCAGAGGGGACTCTTCTACCCGCTCAGCTCAAGTTTAAACTCTGAGAAAGGCGGGAGGCAGCCTGTCCCGGCTGACTGCTGAATATGATCTCTTGGGAGGTAACTGACTTGCCCAACCGCACTCCCTTAGCCAGGGAGCCCTGAACCCGGACTTCTCACTCCCTCTGGGCGGGTGACCCTCCCATCCACTTGTCAGGGAGCAAAGTGTAATGCGTAAAGCTCACAGCTGCCTGCCCAGGGCCTCCTCTCGTGCATCTGTCAGTTCTCACAGATGCTGTTCCAGGGATGCACTTGGGGAGGAGGCACTTGCCCAGGCTGCAGACCCGAGTCTGGGCGGCTCCGGGGCATGTTGTGAGCCACTGCTGCCCTGCTGAGGGCTGGGGACTGAGAACAGCATCTCCCTGAGTCCCTCTGGACCTCCCTGAGCTGGCTGCCTCTTGTCCTTGGCCCTCCAAAGGTGATGGACATCTGGGTCCCTGTCTGGACATGTCCTGCTGGGGTGGGGAGGCCAGTCCTCCCAGACCCACTGAGAGCAAACGCAGGAGCCTGTGGCAACTGACTGTGCTTGCCCAGTGTCAGGGCTCTGTGACAGTGAGGAGCCCGTGCCACCTGTGCTTGCCCGGGGCTGGCAAGGAGCTGCTTACGGTGACACACAGCGTGCTCAGCTCCGGTCTCCTTGCACAGCGGTCTGCTGGCCTGGAGGAGGCATCCAGGGGTGCGTGTGGTTCTGCTACCCTGTCCTGGGCCAGCATCTGACCCACCTGGACTTTAGGGGACAAACCACTCCTGCCTGAAGCTCACCAATCACACCTTCCCACCCCCCTGACCACCGTGCTGTTGTCACATACTTAGTGTGACAGACACTTTGAGAACTTGGCACATCGCTGGCGACAGGGCCTGGCTAAGTACCACCCATACCAATGCAGACATGGAGAGACTTTCATGGCACGAAAAGGAGATGAAAGCCTGGCCCAGATCCCTGGGGTCCGTTTTCTAGGTGAGTGACGGACTCGTGAGCACCAGGGGTAGGGAACCTGGTGGGGCTCGGGTTGCCTGGCTCGGGTCCTGGGGCCTGCCTGCGAGGTGGGTGCTGGGTTTATGAGCCTCAGGGGAGGGGGATCCAGTGGTGCCTGGGACGCCTGGCTTGAGTCCTTGGACTCGCCTGCCAGAACATGTCCTACTTAATGAAAAAGCTGGAGCAGTGGACACAGGCCCTGTTGTAAAAGAACATGCAGCACATTTGGTGCTGTAGCAGAACAGAACTAACCGGACAACAACCCCAAACAAACGGTGACAGCAAAAAACCTCGGTGGATGGAGCCGACGGACACTGGGAGGGTGACACCATCTTTGGATCAGTGAAATTGGCAGCATGTCAGAACTATCCAAGCCACTTGGCCAGAACCCTCGGAATTTGTACACACTGGGACTCTGGGTGGAGATGAGGTGGCGGTTCCTCGTCCCTGGGCACTGGGGCGTGTGGAAAGTCATGAGCGGTTTCACCCTTTGTCTCTCTCCTGCCCCCAGGAACTACAGAAGAAATAGCAAATTTGGAAGCAATGAATTCACCCAATTTTCCCTAACCCTCACTCCTTCCCAGCCTGATCAACTTTGCAATCATTATAAAAAATAAAATTTACATAAAAAAGAGTGGAATATAGGCCAATGGCTAGAAATACGCACATCGGGAAAATGCACAGCTGCCAGCCAGGGAGGGACCACTTCTCCCCGACACCGGGAGCTTCTTCCACAACTATTCCAAGAACGAGTATTTCCACCCGCTGCGACTGCATTTAGGAAAGTCTGCGTGGAGGATGCTGGCCATCGGGGGACACGGGCTGGGCAGGCAGGGGAACACTGGCAGTGTGGCACGATGACATTGGCCACGGGCAATGCGCACGCACCAGCATTTCCCGGAGTTCCTGCTCACGCTGCGCCTTCTCCTTGAGCAGCTGCTGCAGCAGGGTGCTGAGTGCCCAGCGCTGCTCCGAAACCATCTCCTGCAACACAGGGTCACGCCCAGGGCCCAGTGAGCTCGCCTAGTCCCCACGAGTCCCCACAGCTGGTAGTGCAGGGGCCCAACCCAGATGGGCTGGGACCGCGTTTTCTTCCCCCAATCCTCAGTTGGTGGCTCCGCTTTGAGGCTCTGCCCCACTGGGGGACAAAGCCAAAAGGCCCTGCTGTGCTAGCACCCCCACCCCCTCTTCCCAAACCTGCACATCCCTTCCCTGTGGGGTTTAGGGCATCAGTGGACCCCAGTGATGATGACAAAATGGAGTGGTGACAAATGTCAAACAAAAGAAATGGCAAATTTTGGTCTCACTGACCATGGAGAACATGGGCAGAAGCAGATGGAGGGGAGGGCTGCTGTAAACCCACAGAGGAGGTGCTCAAGCTGTGTTCCCCCTTCTGGTGCCAAGCTCCACCCACTCTAACAGGTACCTGCTGAGCAGTGAGCCCCTGACCCCTCATCTCTGAGGACCACCTGGAGGCTCCCAAGGGGCTGTATCACCTTTCTCTGAGGGCCTGGGGAGGGGGATGGAGGGTCGGGAAGGGCAGGGTCACATACACACATGGGGCAGACCGGCGAGCAGCCCTCAGGGTCACTGGGGATGGTGTGAGCTTTGGTACAGAGGACAGACACGGTGCCAGGTGGGTGAGGGCTGCTCTGTAGTTGGGTATGGCCTCCTGTCCTCACATCCCAGCCCTCAGCATGCATCTCAGGGGATGGAGGCTCCAGACCCAGTACCGGCCACTGCCTGCCAGGGCCTGATTTCGGTGGGCAGGACATGAGACTGTGGCTTGGGCTGAGCTCTCTCCTGCAGGCATCCTTGGGACACCAGCTGCTCCCTGGGGTGCCACGCAGCCCAGCAGCAACAGCAGGGAGCCTGCTCCACGCCATGGAAAGAAACGCAGAATGAGGACAAGGATGAGGCCTGGGTGCCTGAGCCACAAGCCCCTCCTGCCTTCCAGGGGCTGCCGTGGCCTCGAGCCTCAGCCTGCCCCATGCCTTCCAGGCCAGACTGGGGGCTCCCTTGGGTGGGCAGGGCAGCAGGCCGGAAGCCCCACATACCTGCAGTGTCTCTGTGTCCAGGACTTTCCTCTTTAACTCCAGCTGTGTCAGCTGCAATAACTCAGTCTCTATTAACTTAATCTAAACAGAAGACGAGACAGGGTGTGGTTTTACTCACATCACTCAGGCTCTATTTTGGGTTCTGCTCTTGGGTGTTCATGTGGGGTCTAAGAAATCTTTCTTGGGGGGTGGTCAGGGGGGCTCTGGGATGCAGGAGCCTGGGCTCACCCCTGGGACTGGGGTGGGTGGGAAGGATGGGACTGGTACCCTGACCAGAGCCTGAGCTAGGTCTGGGCTGTGCACTCAGCGAGCATCACGTCCCCTGGCTGCTGGGATGAGGACCCCAAGGCTCTGTGAGGTTCAGGAACCTGCTGGAGGATGCAGGGCTCTGAGGGCCTGTTTTTGGGGTGTCCCAGCTCTGTGGATCGAGCGTAGGTGGCCTGCTGGCTCCGAAGCACCTGCTGTACTGTGTCTGGGGCTGTGGGAGATCAGATGCCCTCCAGCGAGGGACTTGGCCACCCTGTGTCTTCAGGACCCCAGTCTGTCCCCAAGTCCCTGTCACTAACACACTCAGAGGAATGAGCTTCAGGTCCAGCAATGTGCGAGTGAAATTAAGAGGGGGAAAAAGATCAGCTGGTTGTATTAAAAAAAAAAAAAAAGAAAAGAAAAGAAAAAAGAAAAAAAGGAAGCATGGAAAATGTGGAATTCGAAGTCTGTTGGAAACCATGAGATGAGTGCCACCCACAGTCCTTAAGTCCCCGTCCGCCCTGGTCCTGGACCTCTGGACAGAATGAGGCCACCAGTGCAGTGGAGCCTGGCCTGGCTCTGGCCTAGCCCCCATGTCTGGGGTCAGGACCCCTGGGACTTGGCATCTGCCCCGGGGACCCTGCAGGTGTCCTTCATCCACCTGGGTCAGCTGGGTACCCTGGCAAGGAAGTCCCACTGATGAGGTGGGGGCTGTGCGGACACTGTCAGGGTGGAGGCTGCCCAAGCAGCCCAGGCCACATGGTAGTGCTGCCTTGGCGTGAGGGCGCTCACAGGACCTCAAGTCGAGTGGACAGGGCCCCCACACTCACCTGGTTCCGGATGTGCCGGTGCATCAGGTCTTTTTTCACCTGCAGGGCCTCAAAGGCCGCCTTCTGCATGGCGCTCTGCGGGGGGACCATAGCCTCTGCTCACATACATGTGCGCACGCACGACGACCCTGCCCCGCACCCACCCGGAGCCCACCGCGTGCCCACCTGGAGCCCACCCAGTGTCCACTCTGCCCCATGCCTACCCGGAGCCCACTGGGTGCCCACCTGGAGCCCACCCGGCACCCACCCGGGGCCAGAATGAAAGCCATGTGCACCACACCTTGATGTATGATTTTCTGTTTATCAGAGAGAAATCACTTTCAATCTCACTTGTTTAACTTTTGACTTTTAAAAATTTTCTTTGAGAAACAGTATGGGGGAGTGGCTCCCACTTGTTGGCTCATTCCCCAAATGCCTGTCACAGCCGAGGCCAGGAGCTGGCAGGCAATCCTGGACTCCCATGGGTGGCAGCAGCCCAGTGACCCGAGTCTCCCAGGATTTGCATCAGCAGGAAACTCCTTGGGAGCCAGTCAGGTTCCCAAAGCCAAGGGCTCCGGCACAAAGGAGGCAGGCATCTTCACCGGCGCCTGCACCCAGGCAGAGCACCCACCCTACTTGTGCAAGGCTTGCGAGGGCCGGCTGCTGGGTCACACTCTAAATGGCCCCAAAGCCCATGGCTGGGGCCTTCTACCGCCCTGACTCGGACACCAGCTCCACCGGGCTCCAGCGCCTCCCAGAGGCACGTCTGTCTCTGGGAAACAGACTTTCTGATTGTTGTCACCTTCTGCCTCCAGAGTCCTCACCTGGAGCCCTCCACGAGAGGAGAGGGGTGAGTATCCCCCAGGAAGCAAGGGATTCGTTAGATCCAGTGCCCAGAACACCAGCCCCCAGCCTCTCCCTGCTCCTCTGGGCCTGACCGCCCCGCTCCTAAGTCCCCAAGAGCACGTGGTTCTACACGCTAAAGGCAGGACCCAGTCCTGAGCTCCACCCTCTGAACTCCCTCCTTGCCCCGCCCCCTGAGCCCGCCCCATCCTGCTGAGCCCCGCCCCTCCTGCCCAGCACCCATTCACCTCCTGCAGGATGTGGGTGATGGCCTTGTTCTGATCCATCTGCTGCCACGACAGGATCTGCTGGAACCGCTCGTCCATCTCGGCCATGCTGCCGGAAACACGGCACAGCGGTTGGCTCTCTGAGCACTTCAGGGGCGCCTGCTACGGGACAGGCACCTGGGAGGCAGCCAAGATAACCAGGTCACTCCCCCAGGACACCTCGCGGAAGCTGGTGGGAGCTGCCTCCTGCTGGACACACCCACAGCGCCGGAGGAATCGGAAGCAGACAGTCCATCTCCCAGCGCCCCTCTTGTGGCTGCCTGGCCCTGCCCAGCCCCTCCCAGACGAGCCCCCACCCCAGGCTGGGAGACTCCCACCCTGGCTGTGGATCTGCTCTCAGAGCAAGGCTGGTGACTTTGACCCCAAAACCTGCCACCGCACGTCTGCCCATGCTGAGTACAGCCTTGGCTTGGGCTTGGCTTGCCTTCTCCCACGCTGTGACTTGTCAAACCCTTAGGAGGCTGTCACCACACTGGCCCAACTGCTCAACAGCTCCCCCATAACTCAGTGGGAAATCCAGGCATTTCTCTCTCTCTGTCTTGGAGAGGAGAGCAGCTGGCCCACGCAGCTAGCCCTGGGCCTCCAACACAGCCTCCTGCCTACGTGTCCCGCAGGCAGCAGGTGCCAGCTCACAGCCACTGCCAGGAGCACCCTCAAGCAGGCCCTGCCCTGGCTGTTCTCTGCCTTCCTTTTCTCTCCTCTTGTCTCTGGGATTCATATCAATCAATCTTCCTAAAAACTGAACTCACGCAATTCAGTCCTCATAGAACGCGCAGTGACTCAGCCATGTCCCTGGAACACGGGACGTGCACGGGACACGGGGGTGGCTGTTGTCCCTTTCTCATCCCCGGCCTGGAATCACGGGGTCCACACAGAAGAACCAGAACTGCCACTGGCCCAGCCCCTGCCGCCCCAGGCCCGGGGCCAGCTCTGCCCGCTCCCTCAGCTAGGGATCCTCCCGCTTCGCTTACCTGGAACAGGCCTGCTGCACCAGGTGCTGCCGCTGGGACTCGTAGGCCATCTGCATGAGTCGGTTCTTACAGCTCTCAGCTAACATGTGCTGCATGGCGGCTGCGGAGAGGTAGGGAGTGGGCTGCGAGGGGGCGGTGGCTCCTCGGTGGGGGCGGGGGCGAGGAGCCTCACCCGGCTCTCTACCTGGGAACCACCCCACAAAGTCTTTTCCTCTTCTAATTATAAAAGTAACCTAGACATTCAGTATTGTGGCAGAATGGGTTATCACCTGCAGCAGTGCTGGCATTGTCATACGGGCGCTGGTTCGAGTCCTGGCTGCATCACTTTGACGCAGCTCCCTGCTAATGTGCCTGAGAAGGGAGCGGTGGATGGTCCAAGTACTTGGGCTCCCACACCCACATGGGAGACCCAGAAGAAGGTTCTGGTTCCTGGCTTCAGATGGGCCCAGCTACTATGGCCATTTGGGGAGTGAACCAATGGATGGAAGATCTCTCCCTCTGTCCCCATCCCCTCTCTCTGTAACTCTGCCTTTCAAATCACACACACACACACATATTTGATGCTTCTTAACACAAAGAATAATACAGGTATGCCAGTTACCCTGATTTGTATCATGTCCTATGGTACTCATGCCCAAATGTCCCCCACACTGCCTAAATGTGACTGCTGTCCATCAGCAGGACGCTGAAGCCGGAAGGCCGGGAAGCAAGCACTTGAATGGACACTGGGTGCATGAATGGACACTGCTGCCCAGGCAGCACAGCCAACGCGCTTCGCAGGCCGCCCTGACTCACAGGCAATCTCACGGCGCCGCAGGTTCTCGCTCTCCTCCTGGGTTATGGACATCAACTGCTCCATCCTTATTCTAGAGCAAGTTAAAAAAAAAAAAATTCCACTTACCACATAGCCTTTTCCACAGGGCCTCCCATGAGCTGAATGCCACCTCCTCCAGGAAGCCCTTCTGGATGTGGTACTTGCAGTGCTGGCACCCTACACCACAGTGCTGATTCTAGTCCCAGCTGCTCCAGTTCTGATCCAGCTCCCTGCTAAGGGGCCTGGAAAGGCAGCAGAGGATGGACCCAAGTGCTTGGGCCCCTATACCCATGTGGGAGACCCAGATGGCTCCTGGCTTTGGGGGCTGGACCAGCCCTGGCCAACGAGGCCATCTGAGGAGTGAGTCAGAACATGGGAGATGTTTTTTTTTTGTATCTCTCCTTTTCTTTGCCACTCTGTCTTTCAAGCGAATTAATACACACATACGTTTTTTTAACAGCCGGCGTTTTTTCCAGGGAACTGGATTGGATATGAAACAGAAGAGCCATGAGTAACTCCCACATGGGACACCATCGCATGTGGCAGCTTTACCCACTATACCACAAAGCAAGACCTGAATAAATACATTTGGGCTAGAAAATGTAGTCCAGGGGTCCAGGATGATAGCCTAGCAGCTAAAGTCCTCACCTAAATGCGCCAGGATCCCACACAGGCACCGGTTCTAATCCCAGTGTCCCTGATTCCCATCCAGCTCCCTGCTTGTGGCCTGGGAAAGCAGTCAAGGACGGCCCAAAGCCTCGGGACCCTGCACCCGTGTGGGAGACCTGGAAGAGGCTCCTGGCTTCAGATTGGCTCAGCCCCAGTCATTGCGGCCACTTGGGGAGTGAATCATTGGACGAAGATCTTCCTCTCTGTCTCTCCTCTCTGTATATCTGCCTTTGCAGTAAAAATAAATAAATCTTAAAAAAATATACAAGCAGGATTCTTTTATGGAACTTCTTTTTCTTTTTAAATAAGGGTACCTTCCATCAGCCCCTCTTCACATGTTCAGTACTGTCCTTTTACTTTTAGAAAATTTATTTGTTTTTATTGGAAAGGTAGATATACAGAGAGAAGGAGAGACAGAGTAGAAGAGCTTCCGTCCGCTGGGTCAATGCCCAAGTGGCCAAAAAGACCAGAGCTGCGCTGATCCAAAGCAGGAGCCAGGAGCTTCCTCTGGGCCTCCCACGCAGGTGCAAGGTCCCAGGGCCTTGGGCCGTCCTTGACTGCCTTCCTAGCCCACAAGCAGGAAGCTGGATGGGAAGTGAAACAGCCGGGACATGAACCTGCACCCATATGGGATCCCAGTGCATGCAAGGCGAGGATTTAGCCACTAGGCTACCGTGCTGGCCCTTACGGGATATTTAACAACTGTACATTATTTCTTCACATATAATTTACATAACTAAAATTTTTTGCAGAGATCTGGATTTCTTTTCCAATTGTTTATACTGCTAACATTGCTGGACACTGCAGCCTTTGTCATGCCTGAGTTTTCCTCAGGAGCGTACACTTTTTCTGGAACCGGAAGGCAGGGAGCCTATGGAATGGAATGTCCCCTGAGGCGTTCCCTTGCAGCTTCAGGGAAGTTTCTGGCATAATCTACAGGAAGTTGGGATGTGCTTGCTTCCGGCTGAGAGCCTAGAAGAGCGCTCACCTCTCGTTCTCCAGCGACTTCAGGATCTCCGAGCTTTTCTTTTGCCTATGAAGAAGACCACAGTGGGCCCCTGCCCGTGACCCGCAGAGCTCACAGGGCCTTCATGACCAGGCCAGGCTCGGAGTGTCAGGGCCTTCCGCTGGAGACGACAGTAACACCAGCACAGAACACACAAGCCTGCAGGGTCTCGGGACCGAGAAGGTGAGAAAGTCCACTCCCAACACTCAGCCAGGGCAGCTCCTGCGGCCCGCGTGGGCCTGTCACTCACCCACAGCGGGGAACCGGAAGCCTGGAGCAGCAGGTCGGGCTACCACCTGCTTCTGGACCCTCCCTGCTGTGGCCCCCTCAGGGTTCCCGAGATCTCTCCAGCTCGCAGCGTCTCCTCACGCAGGGAATTTGGACCGAGCCCACCCCGAGGTGAAAGGCCAACCTTGGCACAAGCCCTCCCTGCCACCCAGGCCACTGCAGCAGGAAGCTATGGCAACACTGCAGCTGGGAAACCTGGGCCCAACACCTGTCCAAGGTCACGGGTCAGTCCCAGGGTGAGAAGCTATTGCCTGTGGTGCTGGCCTGGGCTCTTCCCTCTGTAGCTGGGCGTGGGGGGAAGCCCCCACGCTGGGAGAGGGAGAGCTGAGGCAAGAGCAGAGACCTGGGGGCTAGCAGGGCCAAGGGGACCCCCATGTGGGGTTCCTCAAAGGTTCTCACGAGGGATGGGAGCCTGACCTCTGGTTCTCCTGTAGAAGTTTCTGGATGCGGTTGGAGATGCTCTGCTCCGTCTGCTTCAGCTGCTCCTGTAACCGCTGCCGCTCGGCATCCAGGTAGCGCTGGCGCTCGCTCAGGCCCTGCTCCAGCCGGGACTGCTCCTGTGCCGGGGGCAGGGGAGGCCTGAGCCTGCGGGGACCGGCAGGCGCTGGGGGCCGGGGTGGGCACTGCTGGGGGCCGACCCTACGGGCCCTCTTGCACAGGCTGGGGACTGAGGGGAGAGCTGCAGCCCAGGTCCTGCCCTGCCTGCTCCATTGCTGCCAGCCGGCAGCTCACCTACCTCCCTGACTGTCTGCAGGATCTCGTCTTTTTGGCTGTTGCTCTGCTGGAGGAGCTGGGCGTGCTCCCGCTGCCCCAGTTCCAGGCGCCGCTCGAACTCCAGCTTTTCCAGCATCTTCTGCTCCTGTGGAAGTGGATGGCTTGGTGACAGTGGCTGCAGTACTGCGCGCACTAGGTCACAGGAGTGGCCAGGGGGTGGGGGACAGGGGGAAACCCAGACCTCAGCAGTGCTGAGCCCCAACTGTAAATTAACACTCTTCACGGCAGAGGGCCGGGCGTGGGCTCAGTCTGCTCCTCTGTCAAATGGGGATGTCGGCGGGCACATGCCCTTGAGCTCAGATTCAGAGGTTGTGAGCTGAGGTCTCTGAGGAGGCGAAGGGTGCCGAGAGGAGGCGGGCCGTTCTCACCTTCCGCTTCTCGTAGTCCGAGAATCTGTTCTGGTGGGAGAGACAGGGGTCAGAAGGTGGTGGCAGGGGACTGGCCCCTGGCACACCCCAGAGACCCACAGGGACAGGGCTGGGTGTCAGTAGCAGGTGGCTCTAAGGTGGGGACCCCAGGTGCTGCCGCAGGCTTGGCACAGTGGGAAGGAGCTGTTTGAGGCTGCGTGGGACATGCTGCACTCCCAAAAGAAGACCAAGGAAGTGACCGATTCCCTGGATGCCTGCTCACCCTTGGGGCTCTCAGGTCACCTGCCCACGCTTAAGGGAGGACGCATGTGGGGAGCCCACACCAATGCCTGTCTGCAGGTGTCTGTACCCGAGTGACAAAGCTGCTGACGGGATGAGCGGGAGCCACAGCCCTGCCTGCCCACCTTTGTGGGGTACAGCCTGATTCCTCTTCTGCACAAGTGACCTCAGCAGAGGGCGCCCCGAGCACGTGCCCGCAGGTGTGCCCTGGTGGGCTGCCCACGGAGGGTGGGTGGGAGGGCAGAGGCCCATGCTCTGCAGGCTTGCTCCAGCTCACACCAATGGGAAAAGCCGTGTGTCATGTGACACCGGCATACATGTTGCCTCACCTGCCACTCGATCTCCTCCCTGCAGAGTCTGTTGGCCGGCCCGTCGGGGCTGTCCTGGGAGGTCTCAGTTCTATCCTGCTCCAGCACTGGCAGCAGGTACTGGGAAGGGGGGTAGTACTCCAGTCCCGATTCTGCAAGAGACAGAGTAGAGGCTGCCCAGGAAAGGGACATGGCCCGGGAAGGGGGACACGGCCCTGGAAGGGGGACACAGCCCAGGAAGAGGGACACGGCTTAGGAAGAGGACCCGGCCCAGGAAGGTGGACACGACTTAGGAATAGCACGCGGCCCAGAGGCCTAGAGCCGCCAGTTCCCTCAGCCCCGGTCCACAGCAGCCCACTGCTTCACCCCTCCTGATGCTCACCCCCCGGCAGTGCTCACGGGTCCTGACTCTGGGGCCTGGGGGGTGCCGAGTGCTCTGCCTCTTCATCATGTGAGGCAGCACGGGCAAGGAGAGGTCTGGCAAAGCCCGGCCTGGCAGATAGGTCTGCGGGCCCCACCCCTGCAGGACCTCGGCGTGCTGCTTACTCCCCTGGCCTGGGCTGTCTCCTCCTGCGTCCTCAGCGAGGACTCTCCCCGCTCCCTGTCCTCTACGGGCTGCTACGGGCTGTCGGCCTTTTAGTACAGACGTTTAAACCACACCTTGAGGCGGGAACATGAGCTGGATGGGAAGCGGGGCCACCGGGATTAGAATGGCGCCCATATGGGATCTTGGTGCGTTCAAGGTGAGGACTTTAGTTGCTAGGCCACCACGTTGGGCCCCCTTTTTTTTCAGGATCTATTTTTGAGTGAAGAAAGCAGGACATAGAATTGTACACTATGACATCCTCTGTGACTTTCTTTATGTCCTCTTTAAAGACATTGTTCAAGAGGGCAGAAAGGGGCCTGGCATGGTAGCCTAGTAGCATGTGCCAGGATCCCATATGGGTGCTGGTTCTAATCCTGGCAGCTCCACTTCCCATCCAGCTCCCTGCTTGTGGCCTGGGAAAGCAGTTGAGGACGGCCCAAAGCCTTGGGACCCTGCACCCACGTGGGAGACCCGGAAGAAGATCCTGGCTTCATTTCGGCTCAGCTCTAGCTGTTGTGACTACCTGGGGAGTGTGAATCATCGGACAGAAGATCTCTCTCTATCTCTCTCTCCTTTCTGTATGATGTGACTTTCCAATAAAAAAATAAATAAATCTTTAAAAAAAAAAAAAAAAAAAGAGGACAGAAAGGCAGAGAGCCAGCTAGGGGAGATAGATATTCCATCCACTAGGTCTTTCTCCAAATGCTTGCAGCAGCTGGACTAGCACCGGGGCTGGGAGTCAGAGGCTCAAGCCAGGTCTCCCACATGAGTGGCAGGAGCCATCACTGCCTCCCGGGGTCAGCACAAGCAGGAAGCTGGAGTCTCGTCCAGCCTTCACTTCTCAGCCAATCGCCTGCCACAAATGGCAGCCCTCAAGAAGGGAAGTTGTGATTAAAAGTTCCATTTTATTGGAAAGGCAGAGAGAAAGGTCTTCCATTCTTTGGTTTACTCCTCTAATGCCAGGGCTGGGCCAGGGTCTCAACAGCCTGGGCTGAGGCAGGAGTTCAAGACTCAGTCTGGGCCAGATGTGTGGGGATTCTGTTCCCCAAGTCCCCCGGGGGTCAGGGAGTTCTGTCTCCTCCAGGCCCCACCGCCCCTCTAGGGTTCTAGCTCCTCCCACTGTCTTGCCCTGCCTCCAAGTGCAGACCAGCGGCGTCTCTTCCCTGATCAGCCCTGTGGCGTTCGGTCTGGCTTCCAGCCTGCCACCCGGGCTGCTCCCGCAGCTGGAATGATCTCTGTGAGAACAAACCACCATCCACCCCCGTGCCCTGGCGCTCTCCCCAGGCACACTGCCACACCGGCTGTCCCTGCATTCTGCCTCAAGTCCCTTCAGCACACATACACCTCCTGCTGCCAGGAAGGCCTCTCTGCTTTAAAGTCCTCAGCATGCTGCAGCTGCCAGCCAGCTCCCTTTCCCGGGGTAGCCTTTCCTAGCCCCAGCCTCAACCAGACGCCTCACTGGATTCTCTCTCTGCCGCAGCTGGCAGCTGTGTTTCCTTTTGTCTGATGCCCTCTGCCCCCGAGCTCCAGCAGGCAGGCACAGGGGTGCTCTGGGGGCTCTGCTGTCCCCTGGCTGGGTGGCTGCTGGGGGTAGGAGGCCTGGCTTTACCTCTGCAGAGGAACTGCTGCACGGCTGCGGTTCCTGCACCACACACGTCCTGCGGGGGATAGACCATGGAGGAGGCGTCGAGGCTCAGCGTCTGCAGATATGCGGGAGGGGTACAGTTCACCTCACCTCGCAAAGCCGTTAGAACCACCTGATGGCTCTTCATTTCTGTGCTGTCTGCTTCCTCTGCCTGGCAGGTGTGCGTCCATGGGGAGCCGAGACAGCTGCGTTGTCTTGTCATTGACTGCTGTGTGCTGGGCAGTGACCATGGAAACTGGTGCACGGCAGGCAGCTCAGGTTTTCGGACAAACACATGAGTCCGTGAACAAAACAAGTCCCACACAGCACGGAGACTATGAGCCCGCCTCGTTAAAAGAAAATATGCTAACCTGCTCACGTGGGTGCAGCCTAAGAAGCATTTGGAGGAATATACGCAGACTCTTAGAGGGGAGATTCTGTGGGATCTTTTAAGGGCTCAGTGGCCACTGGCCCTGAGAGCCCGCCTTCCTGGAGCCTTGGCCTCGTGTCAATGTTTGGGAGGAGTTGACCTGTGCCGGCCCTGGCCCAGAGCACTCGTCACTGAACTAGCCTCTGCCTGTCAGCACGTGGCTGTGGTCGGATTGTCTTAAGGGAGGTGGCTGAGTTAGATACGGGTCACAAGGCTGGGTCCTGACACAGCAGGCACAGCAATGAGGACCCAGTGAGGAGGCAGCATCCACAAGTCATGGGGGAAGGCTGTTGAAGGAACTGACCTTGGCCTTACCCTCATGGCCTCCAGGACTGGGAAAACGGTGTTCTGGTTTGAACACCCCCGCCCTCTGGGGCCCTGGTGCTGCATTATGGCAGCCACTGCTGATTGACACAGGGTCCCAGACGGGCTTGCTCTCCTCTCCTCACCACCCCAGACTTTCATGCCCTCCCAGCCTCCTGCCTACTCTGTCAGGGGTCTCTGGGACCAGAGCAGGCCCTCAGGAAAATGAGAGGGGTTTGGCCAGGCTGTATAGGACCCCCAGGGCCCCCCAGGGTGAACGGTTGCCCACAGACCTCCAGGGTACGGACGTGGGCCAGCATCTGTGGCAGCCTCCGGAGGTTGTTTTCGCTGACGTCAAGAGTGCGCAGGCTGCGCAGCTCGCCCAGGCTGTCGGGAAGCTCCTTTAGTCTGTTGTCTGCAGAAGGAGAGAGCTCGTGGCACAGCTGGGCATTGGCACCTCACACCAGCAGCAGCTCTCTGCCGGATACCTAGCAGGTGCACGTGTGTGTGTGTGTGTGTGTGAGTATGTGTGTGTGTGTGTGTGTGTGTGTGTGTGTGTGTGCTTGTCTCTGAACCTCAGGGAACACACCAGCTCCTGGAACCTGGGGTTCCCTAAGAACATGACAATGGGGTTTGGGTTCAAGTTTGCATCCCCGGTACTTCCAAGCCAAGGGCCTGGGCAGGCCAGCACTAGGATAGCACCAGCCACCTCGCAGGTAGCCAGGGCGTCTGATGAGACGCTGCCCATGTGGTCCTCAGCCTGGGGTCAGCAGGACCCACCAACCCTACAGTTTGACAGGCGGCTACACGGGGGTATTCAGTGTGGAGAGCTGGGGGCAGTGAGCCGAGAGAACTGGGAGCTGCGTGTGTAGAGGGACGCGGGCCACAGCAGGGTCCTGGTTCGCTGTAGGGCTCCTCTGCCTGCTGGGCATGGTTGTACCATCCTCTGGCCGCCTCATGGCTGCATAAGATGGCTCGCCTCAGGGCTAACAGCGGGACAAGTGGGATGCACTGCTCCCTGCCGCCACTAGGGCTCCTTGTTACTGTGCAGTCACTCTCCCCACTGCTCAAAACGCACACAAACCACAGACTGCAGCCCAGCTGACCCAGCCGCCTGCCCTCCTCCCCACGGAGACAGACAGCCCTCAGGGGAGGCTGCCCCCTTACCAGAGGCAGCCCATGGCTCCGTAGGGAGTACCCTCTGCCCCTGGCTGGAACAGGCTGCCTAGACTGGCCTTCCTGACCCCCTACCTTTAACATTGAGGGTTTGCAGCTGGACCAGGTTCCCGATGGAACGTGGGAGATGCGTCAACTGGTTCTTCTCTACATTCAACACCTGAGGAGGAGCAAGCAGTGACGTGAGAAGCCAAACCTGGGTGGGGTGACTAAGCGTGTACCTGTTTCCTGCTTCAGGCATGGCATCATCCAGGTGTCACACACCCAGCCTTTGTCTCCTCCTGCCAGCTCCGCGAAGGCATTGGTTGCTATGAGTCCATTTGAAATGAGTAAACTGAGGCCCTTGGCTCAGAGTGCTGAAGTCATGTGCCTGGGAAACAAATCCCAGACAGTGAACTCAGCTCCAGCCGAGGTCCCATCAGGCACCCTGCCAAAGGATGCCTGGCGTCTGGCCTCACACACCTGTGTCTGGGTTCAGGTCCTAGCCCCGTTCCTGATCCAGCTTCCTGTGATGCAGCTCAAGGGAGTGGGTCCCTGCCAAGACGTGGGTGATATGGACCACATTCCTGGATTCTGACATTGTGGACATTCATGGAGTGAATGAGACGATGGGAGCTCTGTCGATCTCTCAAAAAATAATCCTTAAAAGAACGCCCAAGAGCTGGTGCTGCAATGTAGTAGTTTAAACCTCTGCCTGCAGTGCTGCCATCTCATATGAGCACTGTTGAAAGTCCCAGCTGCTCTATTTCTGATCCAGTTCCCTGTTAATGGCCTGGGAAAGCAGTGAAAGATGGCCCAAGGCCCGGGCCCTTGCATCCACATGGGAGATGTGAACCAGTGGATGGATTCTCTATAGATCCCCTTCCCCCATATCTTTTTCAAAGACTTATTTTCATTGGAAAGGCAGATTTACAGAGAGGACAGACAGAAAAATCTTCCATCCATTGGGTCACTCTCCAAGTGACCATAATGGCCAGAGCTGGGCTAATCCAAAGCCAGGAGCCAGGAGTTTCTTCTGCCTCTCCTGTGTAGGTGCAGAGTTCCAAGGCTTTGGGCCATCCTCTGCTGCTTTCCCAGCAGGGAGCTGAATCGGAAATGGAGCAGCTGGGACACAAACTGGTGCCCATATGGGATGCCAGCACTTGGGAGTGAAGGATTAGCTAGTTGAGATATTGTGGCAGGCCATAAATTCCCCTTTCAAATAAAAATAATAAATCTTGGGGGAAAAAAAAATGGATGCACGCTTTTCCCCAGACTCTTCCCTTAAAAACAAATTGAAACCTGGCGCCATGGCCTTGCAGCTAAAGTCCTCGCATTGAACATGCCAGGATCCCATATAGGCACCGGTTCTAATCCCGGCAGCTCCACTTCCTATCCAGCTCCCTGCTTGTGGCCTGGGAAAGCAGTGCAGGACGGCCCAAGGCCTTGGGACCCTGCACCTGCAGGGAGACCTGGAGGAAGTTCCTGGCTCCAAGCTCCAGACTGGCATAGCACCAGCAGTTGTGCTCACTTGGAGAGTGAATCATCGGATGGAAGATCTTCCTCTCTGTTTCTCCTCCTCTCTGTATATCTGACTTTGTAATAAAAATAAACAAAAATAAATCTTAAAAAATGAAAAGAGAGAAAACCACAAGCCCTGGGTCCATTGCTTTGGCTTGATTGACTGGCTAATCCTCCTGTGTGGGAGAGCTGGAGGAGGCTCCTGGCTTCGGATCAGCTCAGCTCCAGCCACTGCGGCCACTTGGCGTATAAACCAGCAGTTGGAAGATCATTCTCTCAATCTCTCCTTCTCTGTACATCTGGCTTTCCAACTAAAATGAATGAATCTTAAAATCAAAAGCAAGCCCACCTCTGCCCCACCAGTCATGGAGGGAGCAGGAGAGGCCTGTGGGAGGCAGTGCGCATCTGGGCATTGTGTGTGTGGAGAGGAGGGTTGGGGGAGGAACTGGGGTGGCATGGGCGGTGGGATCTGCCCCAAGCCTCCAGGCCCTCCTGGCCTCTGGCAGCACCAGGACTGGGGCTCAGTCCCCCCAGATTGCACAGGTCGGGTTCCCTCCAGGAAGCAGCAGGGAGAGGTGAGCGTGGCTGATGGGTTAACCCTCAGTGGCTTTTAAAGATGGATGTGACGGGAAGCCAAGCAGCCGAGAGGAAGGAGCCGCTGACGGGCACTGGATGAGCCAAGGGGGGTAGCGGGCTACTGTCAGGCATGCGGAAGTTTACAAGTGTGGCTGCGGCACTTCGTGCCAAGCACACCCATGTCCGGAGACTGCCCAACAGCATGGTCGCTGAGCTCGGTCTGAGGGCCACGACGACTATTCTGCTCTCATGACTCTCGCCTGGCCGGCCCTCTCGAGCTTGGTTTCCTGCCATGCGGTGCTTCACTTAAACCGCTCCCTGGTCCTCTCCATATGCTAGCCAGGCAGGGTGAGAGGTAGCAGTGCTGCCCTTGGAGTCCGCAGGCCAGCAACAGACAGACCTCAAGCCAGACAGCACAAGAACTTGGCTGCCTGTGACCAGAGCTCCCAGGGAGGTGAGCCAGAGTCAGGGGGTTGGGGTGAAGGGGTGGGGGGCAGCTACTGACACTGGAGAGGAGCTCTACGGGGAGGACAGAGAGGGCAGAGGGCAGCATCAGGGGCCACCAGCAGCCAGCAAGGCAGACGGAGCGAGAGGCTGTGCAGACAGGCGGGCCCAGGCGGAAGCATCATCTTAGTGCAAGGGAGAGCTCCCTTATCCTCTGTGAGAAGGAGAGGGTGACACCAGCAGATGATGTGGTTGGCCCAGGGATGCCAGGCTGCCCAGAGATGGCCCAGGCTGGCCCAGGCACAGCATGCAGTGGCTGTCGGTGATATTCCTGCTGTGCATGGGAGGGGAGACGGCAGTGTTCCCTGCTGAAGGGCAAGTTCACCGGGATGCTTGTTTTCTATAAACTCATGGCACTCACAAGCACATGCCCAAATTATGGCGGGCAGATGTCTACAGAGCAGGGCATCCCTGGGATCTCAGGAGCAAGGGGCGGGGGCTGGTGAATGTGGTGGCACAGCATGCCAAGCCACCTGGGATGCCGCATCATGCCCTATTGACTGCTTCCAATCCAGCTTCCTGCTAATGTGCCGGGAAAGCAACAGAAGATAGCCCAGAGGTGTGGACCTCTACCACCACACTGAAGAAATTCCTGGCTGCTGCCTGTGGCTGGGCCTGGCCCTGGCTACTGCAGGCAGGCTGCTAGACGTCTCTCTGTCTCTCCCTATCAAATAAATACATCTTTAAAAAAAAAAAAAGCAAAGTTGAGGGGGAGCTGGCATGCAGGCAGCTGCTTTCATGGGGGAGAGCAGTCAGAACATTCCATGACCTGAAGTGGGTTCCTGTTTCCTGCAGACGTACCTGGAGGGCCGTCAGCTGCCCCATGTCCTCGGGAAGGCCCGTCAGCTGATTCGCGTGCAGATCCAGCACCTGCCGGGTGGGGGCAGCGCTGAGCAGCCAGCCTGGCAGACCGCAGGCTCCCTCCCTGGCTGCGGGAAGGTGTAGGGTGGGGAGGGTGCGGCTGCCTCTGGCCCCAGAGCACCAAGCCTTCCTCTCCCATTGACCAATCCTCCTTCCCACCTCGGTCCTTTATGCCATTCCCTTCCTTTATTCATCAAATAGTAACTTTTACTTTTAAGCGAAAAAAGGTAAACTATAAAATAGTCTGCATAAAGAGAAAACTACACCATCACATAAATACACATTTGCAAAGAGCCAGCCAAGGGTGTGAGGAAATACCGCTGATGGCTCTTCCCTTCCCTTCCCCTGGCAGAGGAGACACGGTGGGTCTGTGTGCTCACGCAGGTAGGCGACGCACACGTTTATGAAGCATAAAAAGGGTTTCCAATGTTCTCATTTTTCCAACCATGAAACTCATGCACCAGAGAGGTCAAGGGCAGTTTGCAGCCACAAGGGGAAGCAGCTGGGAAAAGCACTTGACGTTCAAACACCCAATCTCTACCTCCCTCACATGTCCCCTGGCCCACGTCCCTGCAGAACTGTCCTGGGGCCACCATACATGTCATCTGTGACTGTGTCCCAGCCACCCCATCATGGAAGGGCTCCAGTCAGGAGGGACTTGGCGCTTGGCGGGCACAGATGCCCCATCTGTGGTCCTACCCTCCTTGCCGCGGGGATCAGCCAGGAGAAGGGCCCTTGCCCCACCCACTCCTTCCCCCGGGATCAGCCAGAAGGGCCCAGCACCTTGATGGTGGCGAGACTCAGGAGACTGCAGGACTTGGGGAGCAAGGAGGTGAGGTAGTTGGAGTGGACAATCAGCACCTGCCGGGCAAAGACGGGGGCACCGTGAGGCTGCAGGAGAATAACAGGTGCACGGAGCCAGAGGGGGTGAGGAGGGACGGGCCAAGCCTACTGCAGGCTCTGCCAGAGGAGATGCCGCTCTGACCGGCTCCCCCAGCGTGGAACTGGATGACCTTAAGCTCTGGAATTTCAGGGGTGAGAGGGGCGAGAGGGAGCCCCCAGGGAGCTGCTCAGGTGGTCTACACTCCCCTGTTTCCATGTACTCAGAGAGAAAATGGAGAATAATAAAGCGTGTGCCACGCAGGACGATTAAGCGAATTAAAGGCCTGGCCCAGAGCACAGAGAGCATTTCCACCTGCCTGAATCTAGACGCTTTCCTTGGGGCTCCCCTAAGTGCTACCTTCACAGCTGTAAACCTTCTGGCAAATCCCCCGTTCCCTCTGAACCTGCAGACTGAAGCACAGATTCACGCTGGGGTGGAGGGTCAGGGAAGCCACCCTGGTCACGAAGCCGGGTGGTAGGGTGGGAGGGTCCCTGGGCTGTGCCAGCCCCACAGGCTGCTGTCCTCACTGTGACAAGCCAGTGCAGACAGCAAGGGACACTTTGGGAAGAAAGGCATCAAAGCAGCAGGCAGGCCCCTGGCTCCTGTGGGGCTGCGGATCAGTGCATGCGCAGTGCGGGGTTCCCCACTCATTTGCTCACCTTCTTCTGCAGAACTTTGCAGGTTGCAAAAGCGCCAAAAGGAATCTGAAGTGAGAGAAAGAGGAGTTTAGTGCCTCCCCCAGCCCCGGGAGGGGAGGAGCAAAGCACAGGTAGTGTGGTCCTAGGACCCACAGCTAGCCAGTGAGGGGTGTGGCCAGGCCTCTAGCAATCAGCCAGCAGGGGGCTGTCCCACCCTCTTGACCCCCTCAGGAACTCAAGCTGCAGAACCCAGGCTCCCCCATTGCCCCCGCAGGTTCTCCTACTGCCCTCGCGGGCTCCCCCATTGCCCCTGCGGGCTCTCCCATTGCCCCCGCAGGCTCCCCCATTGCCCCTGCGGGCTCTCCCACTGCCCCTGCAGGATCCGCTGGGACACTTTTCTGTCAGGTAAGGAGGCACCTCCTCCCAGGATCTTCTGTCCTTCTCAAAGCCCCCACACCACGCCCCATCTTTCCGGGGGAAGCGGGATCCAAACAAAGAGGGCTGTTGGACTCCACCGCCCAGTCACTCCCCTCACCTCGGAGAGCTCACACTGCGAGATGTCAAGGATGTCATCTGCCCCAGCTTCTTTTGCCTGAGTGTAAAAAAATGAAAACAAACAGAATAAAAAAGCCTAGCAGAGGGAAGAAGCCGGGCAAAGAAGTGCAGAAGCAAGGAGCCGCAAGGGGCTCTGGCTTCATCGCGTGGCCGGATTCTGGTCCATAACCCCTGAGGCCCAGTGGTGGAAGAGGGCGCAAGGCAGGGTGGAGGACGGACAGGCTGGGGCAGCCCCCTTCTCTCACCAGACACATCTGGTATTCCAGGCGTTTCCGGGCCTCCTCGCTGGGCTTGCGCTTCCGGAAGAAGAGTGGCATGTTTCTGCTTTTCCCAGAGCAGGCTTCGGGATCCAGGGGCACAGGGAGGGGCAGTTAGGGCCTGGGGGACCACACACAGCCCCCACCTCCCCAGGACAGGTGCCCCCTCGCCACAGCCTGCCACACACAGAGCTCTGGGGACTGCCATTGTCGCAGGTCTGTGGGTGCCCTGGACGCTTTGAACTCGGCCAGTAGCAGGCTGGGCTGGCAGGGGCGCAATCTGGGTTGAGGCCCACATCAGCCAGTGCCCCGTGTGAGATCCTGGCATTATGTTTTGGGCATTTCCTCAGGATTCAGCCATGACCTCGTATGTGTATATGTGTGTTGGGGTGGGAGCAGGACAACTCAATAGCATCCTAACAAGAGAGGTCTTGGAGTTCAATCCAAATTTCAAATGCAACTCCCAGGTGCCTTCCCTGCCACAGCCGGGTTTATGGGGACGAAAGGGTTCACGGATCTGGTTGCACAGCCTGGATCCCGACCCTGAGTCATCTTCTCCCATCGCTCGGCGCCCCCGGGGGCGGGGCACCGCCCTGAGCCCAGGAGCTGGTGTGCATGGCCTGCTCAGTGACCAGCAAGCAGCAGCACTGGACAGGAGGCCACCACCCCGGAGAAAACCCCCACCCCCGGCTCTGCATCCACCAACCGTGTCACCGCGGGTGTCACCTCTCAGAAAGTCCCAGTAATAATGTCACCAACAGTGGATGCTGAGAGGACCCCACATACCCTGCGCAGCCACGGGGCACCGCATTGCCTGAGGGCCAAGATGGCCAGAGCAGCGCCCCCTCCCCGAGGTGGACGGCGAGCGTGGGGCTCCCTCAACCAGCCCACCTGTTCCAGGGGTTGGGGGACGGTCGCCCCTCTACCCTCCTGCAGAGCTGCCCGATTGGGGGACGATCGCCCCTCTACCCTCCTGCACAGCTCCCCGATGCTCCGGAGGGCACCTCGGTTCCCCACCTCCTCCCAGGGCACCCATCCCCCGACGGCGGCACCCAGAGGCAACGGCCACACCCATCCTTTCCCGGGCTGGGGCCGGGCCGGCGCGGCTCACCTGGCCTTGGGTCAGTCCTGGGGCTTGGTCATGGACGCGGTGTCACAGATCCCTTAAGGGGCAAGTGCCCGGGCAGAGCCGGACTACTGTCTCGTCCGCGCAGGAGCTGAGGGACTGATAGCGAGACATTTTACAAAGTGCAGGGTGGGACGAGCAAGTCTGGGACTCAGGAGGGCGGGATCGCAGCAGGGTTGGGGTCCCCAAAGGACTGTTTGGATGCCTTGGACCGCCCACGCCACGAAGGGTCTGGCGTGGCGAGGACACTGAAGTCCCGGACCGGAATGCGGACTCCTCAGGGTCCAGGCGGGTCGCTGGACTTGGGTGACAGGAAACCCCCGGGGTGACCCTTACGGTAAGGGAGCACAGCAAGCAGCAAGGCCAGGGGACTCTCAGGAACAGCCGTTCTTCTCTGACTTCCCCCGGGCGCACTGCTGCGAACCCGGCTTCTGAATCTTTATAGCTCCCGGCTCGGCTTTCCGGCTGTCAGCATCTGGCGCTTGCCCACAAGAAACATGGCATCCAGGGCGTCGCTGGGCGGAGCCAGCAATTATCGCGAGAGCCGCGTTTTGCATCTTATATCAGGCGCCATCCTCACGACTTCCGGCCTTTTGGTTTTCGGCTCGGAGGAGGCCGCGGTGCAACTTTCTTCGGTCGTCCCGAATCCGGGTTCATCCGACACCAGGCGCCTCCACCATGCCACCCAAGTTCGACCCCAACGAGATTAAAGTCGGTGCGTGTCCTGGCCGTGACCGGGGCTGCGGGATGGAGCCTCTCCGCGCCCCGCCGCGTGCCTTTGCCGGCTCTGGCCGCGTCTTTCCCCTTTCTGGGCCTCGGCTTCCCCACGTGTAGACGGGGAGGGAGGACCGGAAGACCGCGGCGGCTTTTGCAGCCCGCTCGCCGTAGGGTAAGGCTTGTGTCCGGCGGGCTCTCCGCGTGTCGTGCGGGCTGCCGGCCCCCCAGCTGACCCAGGCGGGAGCGGGGAGCGTGTGCCTGCCCCGCTGCTCCCCGCGGGAGGAGGGAGGCGAGAGGGCCGCACGCTGCCCTCGGCTCAGCCGTGCTCCCTTCCCTCCAGTGTACCTGCGGTGCACCGGCGGCGAGGTGGGTGCCACGTCCGCCTTGGCCCCCAAGATCGGCCCCCTGGGTCTGGTGAGTGCGGAGTCGGGCAGGGTGGCCGAGGGCTGGGGGCTTGGGGTCGGGATTGAGGGGTGCACATTTTGCTGGTCAGTGTTAGCGCACAAGGTGGTAAAGGCCTGTGCTTTCTCTAGTGCTGCCCCTAGGTGGCCCTTTTGAGGGACACCTGTAGACCAGGGTCAGATGGCACCCGGCTCCTGTGGCAGGTCCGCCGAGGCCTCGCCTCGCAGCTGGACTGTGGCTAGGTGGCCCGGCCGAGGGTAGCTGTTGGGTGTCGGTTGGGGGCTGGGCAGGGCGTGAGGACCCTCCGTTGTTTGCACAGTCTCCAAAGAAGGTGGGAGATGACATTGCCAAGGCCACCGGGGACTGGAAGGGCCTGCGGATCACGGTGAAGCTGACCATCCAGAACCGACAAGCGCAGGTGAGGGGCACCGCGGTCCCCCCAGGGAGGAGCTGGACTCCGCGTGTGCACGCGCGGCGGGATGGGGGTCCCTGACCTCCCACCATCTCACTCGCAGATCGAGGTGGTGCCGTCGGCCTCTGCCCTGATCATCAAGGCCCTCAAGGAGCCGCCCAGGGACCGCAAGAAGCAGAAGAACAGTGAGTCGGCTTCCCGGGGGTCGGGGACCGGTGGGGCTGGCATAGCTTGTGCGAGAGTTTGCAGGGCTCCCGTTGATTGCTCAGGTGACACCTGTGTAGGGCAGTGGAGCCACCGGCAGGTACTGCTTCCGGGGCATAGGTCCGAACTAGCCGGTCTTGTGGGTGTGTGCCCAGCCACCCGCCACTGCGCCTGACCACCCGGTTGGCTGGCGCAATCCAGTGGTGAGCTGAGAGCAAACCCCGGCTTAGGAAACAGGGTTGTTCTCCATGTGGGCAACTCTGTGCCGAAAGCACGGGGACAGCCTAGCACAGTGGCAGGTGGGGACCTAGTGTGAGGGGTTGGTGCCACACCAGAGCCCGTGACTGAGTTTCTCCCGTCACTTTGTAGTCAAACACAGTGGGAACATCACATTTGATGAAATTGTCAACATCGCCCGGCAGATGCGCCACCGATCCTTAGCCAGAGAACTTTCTGGTAAGAGCAGAATGTGGAACTGTCTGGTGTGGTTTGGGGGTGTCCTGCAGGAGTGGGGTGGTGTTGAAGGAGTGGCTTGATGCCAAGCGTGCAGTCTGCATGGAGAGGGGTCTGTGTAGACTGTCTGGGGCAGACCACGAGTTCAGGGAGCTCAGAGCCCATCCTGGTGGTGCTTTGTTGCACAGGAACCATCAAAGAGATTCTGGGGACTGCCCAGTCAGTGGGCTGCAATGTGGATGGCCGCCACCCGCACGACATCATAGAGGACATCAACAGTGGTGCAGTGGAATGCCCAGCTGTAAGTAACTGCATACGTTTCATTAGATTAGAGCAGGTGTGAAAGTGGAGGGATTGGCTAATGTCAGGCTGGATTGTTCTAGAAACAGTGGTCACTGATAGCCTATTTCTTTCTTTCTCACAGAGCTAAGAAGAGAAAATGTTTCAATAAAGGATCATCTGGCAACCACTGGGCTTTGTGCTGTGCTGTTCTCCCTGGGGACCTGGCTGCTGTTGGGTGGGGCCGAGTGCAGGACCCCAGTTAGTAACTTCTGTGGGCAGCACCTCCTACCTCTGGGACCAGCTCAGAACGAACCCCTGGAGCCTCCAGGGTCCCACTCTTGGCTGGCCAGTAGGCAGGGCAGCACCTGGGCGTCTGGGAACTGAGACTGCCTGGCTGGGTGTGAAGATGGGTGATGGAGAGAGGGTGGGAGCTAGGCAGGGGGCCGGGTGAGTGGTGCAGTCTAAGACCTAGCAGCTTCCAGTAGAGACCTGAATGGGCTCATCTGTCCCTTCCATGACAATTTCAGGAATTGGAGGGACCAGTGGTTAAGTTCTGGATCCAGGATCAGCTCAGCATATGAAGATTTTAACAAATTTTTGATTACATAGTTGGGTTTGTGTACCCATGTGGACAACTGATTAGCCTGGGTTGAGGTTAGTTGAGGGGAGAGTGGATGAGAATTCCAGGAATGGAAGACATTTTTTAAAGACTTTATTTTCATTACAAAATCATATACAGATGTAGGAGAGAGGGGAAGATCTACCATCTGTTGATGCACTCCCCAAGTGAGTACAACAGCCAGTGCTGAGCCCATCAGGAGCCAGGAGCTTCCTCCAGGTCTCCCATGCGGGTGCAGGGTCCCAAGTTTTTGTGGGAGCTGGATGGGAAGTGGAGCTGCTAGGATTAGAAACGGCACATTCAAGGCCACAGCACCGGGCCCAGGAATGGAAGATACAGGTTTATTTTTTGGGCCTGGAATGGTAGCCTAGTGACTAAAGTCCTCGCATTGCATATATCGATCCCATTTGGGTGCCAGTTCTAATCCTAGTGGTCCCACTTCCCATCCTCTGCTTGTGGCCTAGGAAAGCAGTTGAGGATGGCCCAAAGCCTTGGGACCCTGCACCTGGATGGGAGACTCAGAAGAGACTGGGCTTTTGGCTTCAGATTGGCACAGTTGCAGTCTCTTGGAGTGAGTCAGTGGGTGGAAGATCTTTGTCTCCTATTTGTATATCTGACTTTCCAATAAAAATATATACATTTAAGTTTTATAGATATGAAGATCTTTCCATCTGCTGATTTACTCCCTAAGAGGCTACAACAGCCAGAACTTCCAGTCGCTTGTGGCCTGAAAAGCAGTAAAGGATGGCCCAAAGCCTTGGCACCCTGCACCCACATGTAAGATCTTAATGCCTTTAATTTGTTCTGTAAGAATTAAATCCTAAAGGCACTGTCATGTTGGACCTTGGTCAAGAGTGCTGACTTTTCACATTCATTTGGTCACCTTGGTTGTGGTAGACCACGGTTTCTGGGAGGTCTACAAATGAATACAATGAGATTGAGTGAGATGGGGCTACTAAAGGTATGGAGTTGAGCTTCCCTGTGAGTGTGCCTGGGAAAAGCAGTGGAAGATGGTCTAAGTTCTTGGGTGGGAGACCTGGAAGAAGCCCCTGGCTCCTTGTACCAGGTATCAGTCATTCTCCGGAGTGGAGCCTCTGGTGTGAAGGCTGCATCCGAAGGCCTGGCCACAGAGGTTGGGCTTCAGGCAGCCATGGATCCCCTGGTATTGACAGAAGGCTGCCCAGCACTTGCCACCCATTTAGACTGGGCACTGGACATTGCCCGGGTCCTCCCTGAGGCCTGTCCTGCACTGTTGGGGTGAGGGGCTGCTCACAGTGCCCACCTCCCTGCCCCAGGACCTCTGCATGTACAAGGCCATGACCAGCAGTGCCCCCAAGCCATGGTAACAGTGCTCAACTCAATTTTGAAGGGTGGCCTCAGAGATAACAAGGACCTTACAGCTGTTCCCATTCTTCCACACCTTGGTTTGATGTGTTGTGCAGGCTCTCATGATTGCTGTGGCAACAGCTGGGCCTGGGTTTTCCTGTTGCCCAGAATCCCAAGGGGCTTTGCTCATTTGGTGCCAGGGGAAGTGCCCTGTGCATAGCAGGTGTTTCCAAGGGGGAAGGGTGCAGGCCTGAGGCTATTGGGCCCTTCACCTGAGCTTGGTTGATAGCCAAGCCCCATGTAAGACCACCATGCTCCCTATCGCCAGGGAGCCTCATGGCTGGCGGTTACCTCCTCCAAGCCACCTGGGATTGTTTCAGGGACTTTGGGAAATGGATGTGGGGCCCATGCCCTGGGGCCCACAGGAGTGGAGTCTGAGGGGCAGGAGAAGGGCAGAGCCGCCTGGGAAGGGCTGGAAGCCCTCTGCTTACTGACGCCATTCTGCCCAGGGCCCCAGGGCCTAGCAGGCACTAATCCCAGAACACAATGGGGCCCTGTCCCATCTTACTCCTGCAGCCAGGGTCTTCCCGGAAGATAGCCCAAGCATAGGGGCCCTTTGCACCCACATGGGAGGCCATGGAGCTTGTAACTTCAGTGTGATCCAGACCTGGCCGTTGCACCCATCCAGCGAAGTAAACCAGCAGATAGATTTCCTCTCTGCCCTTAACTGTTCTTTTAAATAAATATTTAAAGAATTTTGTTAGACTAAGATTTGTGGGCTAGTGATCTAGACACCGAGGCTAAAGGAGGGCCAGGCACATCTTCCATGTAGCAAGGGTGAGCATGGCTCACCAGGACAAAGTCAACCCCCTGGCCCAATCGACATGTGCTTCTCAAACTGGCTCATGAAGGGAGGTTATGTCCTGGCTTTTGGAGTCAAATCTTTATTTGGCAAACAGTTCCTTTCTGAGCTTTGGGCAGCTTCCCCAGCTTGCTGCCAGGAGCCAGGAGGACCATTCTGCCTCTACTTGGGTGTCCTCAGGAGCTGGCGGGCAGGAACTGACCACAGGCCTGGAAAGCTCCTGCCATCCCAGTGGTCCTGAGTCCATGCAGCAGCACGGGCTGTCCCCGGCAGCTAGGCTGTCCACAGCAGGGCTCCTGGGGGGTGTGGTCCTGGATTCCAGCTCCTCTGGGGCCTGGGGCTCAGCCCAGAGAACTAGGCTGGCTCCATCTCCTCCCTGGAGTTGGGGTAGCCTGGAGCAGTGGTCGCTGGTACCGCCCTTCAAAATGGGCTGTGATTTGTTCCAAAGTCTTGCCTTTGGTCTCAGGGACACAGAACAAAGTGAAGAGGACGCCACAGATGCAGAAGGCTGAGGCGAGCCAGAAAGCTCCATAGGGTCTGAGGGCCTCCTGCAGGGAGAGGAGGCCGCATGTGGATGAGCTGGGCAGTGCCCACCGAAGCCATGCCCAGTGTGTCTCCATCCTCCTTCCAGGGTTGCAGGAGTGGTGGTGGCTGCCTGCCACAGTCGTGCCAGGACCAGTGCTGTCTGAGATGGCCATGAGCTTGGGCAATGGGGTGACCACCCCAAGGTCAGAGGCCACACAGCAAGTGCTAGCTAGGTCCTGGCTGCATATCCAGGCCCACACACCCACCCTCTGGGCCCCATGCCATTCCCAGCGCTTGGGAACGGATGAGCTCTCAGCAAGTCAGGATGTAGGCACAGCTCTGGGGCACCGAGTGACCAGTGCAGGGAGGGCTGGGTGAGCAGTGCCCTCGGTCAAGGCCAGAACCAAAGGCCACTGCCTTAACTCCTTCTGTGGGACCCAGAGACCCCTTCCTCCTGAGAGCCCTCTTCTGGCCTCCTGGACACTGCTCTCACTGTTTGGTCCTCTGTTGCCTCCTTCCTGGCTTATTCTCCCCCCTGTTACCCCTTCCACCACAGGCCTCCTGCTGTACCCCTGGACACCCAGCTTGAGCAGCACGGGCCAGCCTGGTGGCCATACCTCTCACCCAGCTGCCTCCCTGTTGTCCTAGCCCGGCCTCCCACCTCTGCTGCTGTCCACCTAGCTGCTGTCCCTGCCAGCCCTGGTGCCTCGAGCAGGCCCAGATGTGGCCCATGCCAGGAGAGCTGGAGGGGTGAAGGACTAAGGATGACATGTTAATCTGCCCACGGTCCGCTCTTTTGGCATCTGTGCTGACAGCCTGAGAAGCAGCAAGGTGCCCCAGTGCAGTGACACTTTCAGCAACCTCCAGTTCCAGCACAGCAAGTTGGTTCAGAGAAAGCGAGCTTCATATCCAAGGTCACCCCACGAGGGTGTGGCCCTAGTGGGGCCGGGGCCCAGGCCTGCTGATTCTCCCCCGATTCAAGGGGAGGCCAGCTATGTCGTTCTTCCACCAGAATAGACTCCACAGGACCATGGCCTGGGTACCTCGTGGGCTCTGGCTCTGGGGGTGGGCATCCTGGCACGCAGGTGTGCCGCTGGCTGAGGGCAATGTCAGACAGTACTCACCATGAGGCTGCTGAACTCCTTTGTCACCAGGAAGGCCATCAGCCAGTTGGTGAGGACACAGACACCCGTGGCCAGGCCCTTCACGTGCAGGGGGAAGATCTCAGACATGAGCAGCCAGGGGATGGGCCCCCAGCCCACGGCGAAGCCTGCCAGGGGGAGCCGGGTGTTAGGGCAGCGGGCAGCACAGAGGTGCAGTCAGATTTGTGATAGCTAAGGTCGGGCTTCACAGGTTGTGGAGGTGAGGCTGCGTGAGACCAGCCCAAGCCTGGAGCCACAGCAGTTCTCAGCCAGCCTCCCGTGGCCCTTCTTCCTCACCAGCGACAAAGAGGCACATGCTGCCCACTGCCAACCAGGCCAGCCCCACGCTGGTGTCGATGGGTTCCGCAGAGATGGGCGCCAGGAGCTCCATGTGGGAGGAGTTGCTGGGACCCCCTTGGGCCAGCTTGAAGTAGGCCCCGAAGGCACTGGTGCTGAACACCATGACCACACCTGCAGGCAGAGGGGGCATGGCATGGGTTAGGGAAATGGCCCAGATGCAGCGTGGCCTGCAGACAGCCCAGAGTGGCCAGCACCCTTACTGTGCCTGAGACCTTAAGTCGGCCTCAAGGAATTCCCACACAAACCCTCACTGAGCAGCAACAGCCGGAGCAGGCACCCCTGCTCTCCCCACTGAGGGCGTTGGAATCACTTCCCCTGCTACTTACAGTCCTTTGTCCCTGCCTCAGGGGCTT